TTCCGGACCTCCCAGGAGGTACTGTGGTGTGAGCCACTGTTAGAAGCTGTCCACATTTGGCTGTCCGCAACCTGCTCAAAGCTTATGCGATCCACAGTTTGTGGCTGCGTTCACAGGGCTTGACTGTGCTTGGGAAAGGCCAAGCTGTATTCTAGAGCCAGTTTTTCAGTGGCACAGTGGCCAGGGGCAGTTCAGCAAATGTCCCAAAGAACTTTGGGCTCCACCTCTGCCTGCCTCTGCCTACCAGCCAGTTGTCAGACTTAGCCACTGAAAAAGCTGTTTCTGAAAGGGCGTTTTTGTCTCCCATGAGGGGGAGGTGTTGTTCAGATTTCAGGGAAGATGGTGAGTGTGCCCCCGCCCCATCCCAGAGCCCCATCCCAGAGCTCCATCCCAGAGCTGCATACCCGGGTCTGTCCCATAATATTCCCCTGACCTTGGGAGGGTGGAGTCCCTCGTATATAGTCTGGTGGTGTCTGCTGGTAGCAGAAGTTTCTATCAGTTCTCCTTTGAGGGAGGAGCACCTTCAGATTTCCAGTACAGTACAGGGAATGTCCCCACCCAAAAGCCTCCTGAAACTGCCCAGACTGTAGGCTTGGCCTCTGCTGCAGCCTCCTGAGCAGTGGTTGAGATGCACAGTGGGCCTCTCACCATGGATTTTCCCCAGGCAACTTCAGTCAGCACAGCTTTCCCTCCACTGAGTGAGTGGCTACAAATGAAATCTTGTGTTCTGTTTGTTGGTTTTTTTTTAAGTGGCTTTATCTCCAATAGGCTGTCTCTCCCCCTGCCGAATAGAAGCCCTGCTGCCTTTCACATCTGGATGTTAATTGGGCAGCTGTTCTTGGCTCTGGGGCTTCAGGCTGGGGAGCCCAGCCTGGGATTCAGGCCTCAGTCCTCTCAGGAAAAACCCCCGTGCAGCCTAGATGTCCCTCCTCAGCCTCTGCCTGCTGCCTGTGGGAACTGGGCCAACCCCTCCCTCTCGAGGCACCACCTTTCCTACCAGTCTAGAGGTGGTTTCTGCCCTTCCTTGTTAAAAATCTCTTCTTCAGCCCTGGCCCGTTTGGCTCAGCGGTAGAGCATCGGCCCCCAGAGCAGTAAGTTGCGGGTTCAGTTCAGGCCAAGGGCATGTACCTTGGTTGCAGTTTGTCCCTGGCCCTGGTCAGGGTTGAGCAGGAGGCAACTAGTTGATGTGTCTCTCTCACGTTGATGTTTCTCTCTCATTCCCTTTATCTCCCTCTCTCCCCCTTCCACTCTGTCTGAAAATAAATAGAAAAAATATATACTTGGGTGAGGATTTAAAAAAAAGAAAGGAAAAAAGTCTCTTCTTCAGCAAGTCTTCAGTTGGTAATTCAGGGTGAATGTTTCCCAATTTAGTTTTGTTTCCAGTATGGATCTAGGAGGAGGTGCAAGAAGGATCCACCTACTCCGCAGTCATCTAGAACTTCTCCAAAAGCCAATGTCTTTACAACAGCCTTCAAGGCCCGAAATGATCTGGCTTCCATTACCTTTCTGTTCTCACTTCCACTAACCTTCCCCTGTTCACTCCTCCCCAGTGGCTCTGGTCTCCTTAATGTTTTTTCTCTTGCCTACAATGCTCTTCAAGATATTCACATGGCATGTTGGTTCATTTCCTTCAAGTCTTTGTTGATATGTCACTTTCTTAGTAAGGCCTTCTCTGACTACTCTGCTGGAAATTGTGTGTGTGTGTACATGTACACATACATACACAAACACACATACATACATACATACTTATACACACATCATCACTCTGTTTGCCTTTGTGATTTTTGAAAAATCACCTGAAGTTCTATGTTCTTTACTTATTTAGTTAATTTTACCTCTACTCTTTAAGGGCAATGATTCTTGTCTGTTCTCTTTACCCCTGAATCCCCAACATTTCAAATAGTATCTCGCATACAGTAGGTGCTCTATAAACATTTGTTGACTAACTAAATGAATGAAAAAATGAATATTTATTAAATGCCAAAGCAGTACATGTATACTAGGGATACACTGAACAAAGACACAGTTATTGCAGACTTTCAGCTTCTAGGCTAAAGAGGTTCCTGAAAAATGAATCTCCAATCATTGTGGTTAAATAGTCTATCAAGGAAATACTAAGGGGTGTGAACACAAAGGAGGATCTTGCAGCTCAGTCTTGGGGAAGGGGCGTGATCAGGAAAGGTCTCCTGGAGAATATAACATACACTAAAATCAGAGATTGGAGACCTCTAGTTTCTGGTCCAGAATATAAAGGATTTTGGAAGTGTTCATTCCATCTTAACAAGTGAAAGCTGAACAAGCTATGACATGTCCTGGGGAACTCAGAAAACTGCAGCTCAGAAGGACTGGAGCGTAGTGGAAGGGAAGAGTTGAAGGTGGTAACCAGGGCCAAATCATACAGGGCCTTGCAAGTCACGTTCAGGAGTCTGGAATTTAACTTGAGTGTATTATGGTGTATTGAACAGTTTGGGGCAGAGAATGAAAGGAAGTGGTCAGGATAGGAAAGGGCATACAAATGAGGAGACTTTTGTCATAATTTATGCTGGAGATAATGGTGGCCAGTGCAAGGTGGTAGCAGAGAAGTGAGAATGAAGAGATCTGGAAGTATTTAGAAGTAGAACCAACAGGGCTTGGTGCAAGGAAAAGGGAAGAGTCATGGACGATGGCCTGGCTTTCTGGTTTGAAACGTGGGGTGGATGAGCTAGAACATGTGAGAGGAGGAGCAAATTTGGGGTGGGGTGCATGTTGTTTGTGATGGGACATCCTGGTGGAGATAACCAGGTGTCGATGATACAGGTTGGGCAAAAGTAGGTTATAGTTGTTCATATGAAAAAAGGCATGCAGATTATGATTATCACAATAGCTTTATTAATCCAAAAGAGTGTCACTCACAACTGTAAACCTACTTTTGCCCAACTTGTATACAGCTTTTGAACTCAGCAGAGAGATCAAGGATGGAGAGAGAAGTAGATTTGGGAATTTCATCATGTAGATGGATCTTTATGCTACAAAATGGATAAACCACCCAAGGGGCAAGTGTGGAGTGATGATAGAAGAAAGCCTAGGATGGACAGATTCCTCTGAAACACACCAAGATTCCAGGGATGGCTAGAGGAAGGGAGCTGAGGAAAGACACGGAAAGGCAGTAACTGGATGCTCAAGAAAATTTGGTGTCATGGAAGCCAAAGGAATAGAATATACCCCAAAAGAGAGAATATCAAATGTCAGTATCATCGAGAAGTAAAGGAGGTGAGGATGCGGCGTACCCTGGAACACTTCTTTTACTTAGAAGCCCTCTGAGCCCTTTGAGAACAGAGTCAGTGCAGTGGCTGGCGAAGGGTGCTGTGTCCTCGGCACGTTATGTCAGCTTGCCCCAGTGTTGCTGATGCTAACTTTGCTTACTTGGTTAAGGGGATGACTTCTTCACTTTTCCATTGTGAAGGAATATTTTCTTCCTTATAATTAATAATATTTGGCATCATAGTTTGAAAATGTTTGACTAATCCATTCTTCAACAGTCTTTCACCCAGATGGTTTAGAATCCCCTGATGATTCTTACTTGAACCAGTTATTATTTTAGTGATTGCAAAAATTTAGTGATTTAAAATTTTTTATCATTTCTTCTTCATTTATTACTTGGGACTTTGCCTCATAACTCTGAAAGCCACTGACCAGTAATAATTGCCATATAAATACATATTGCTTTGTTTCCCAAGAGATGAGTTCCTGAAAAATTGTGTGTAATTGAGCTATTTTTCCATAGGAAAATTTCAGAGGCATATTTCCATAGGAAAAAAGGCATTCCTGTAGCCTTATAAAAACTACTTAAGAAAAGACAACTTTTAATATATTTGAACAGGTAAAAACCTATTAATAAAATGCAAACAACCATAAGCAATCAACAGTGTGCAATGTGGAAGTAACACATTGCACATTTTAAAATGACCTGGTGATGAAGATATATGTCTTTTCTTGCTGAAAGATTATTTAGGGATTTTTTGCAACCAGAAATGAATTTCAAATATGATTTTCTGACATGTTTGATATTTGATAGTGAGCTCACAGGTGTTGAACATCTCATTCATCTTCAGTGCTTTGGTCCAGTTACTTACCTTTTCTCATTTAAAAGTTCAGATGGACAGATAAGATCCTTTCAGACTCTTAAAGTTGGATGATTAAAACATTTATTATACATGTTGGCTTCCTGTCCCCCTTTGGCTAAAGAGAGTACAGTTCACCCTTGAACAACATGGGGCTTTGGGGTGCAGTAAAAAATCTGCACATTACTAGTTGGCCCTCTGCATATGCAGATTCTCAGCTTTGGGTAAAAAATATATTTTTTTACACCCATTGGAATAGAAATAGTAAGATAGGAGCCAGAGAGAGTAGAAGAAAGAAAGCAAAATGTGAACAAAAACCATGAAGCATTAGAAGAGATTATAATGGGTCTGTTTCCCTCTCAGGAGTATATGCTATAGGAGTCTTTTCTTTTTTCCACACAAGAAGATTTTTTTTAATAAAGACCTTCCTTGACAAACAAAATCAGAGATATCTTTAGAAACCCACGAGGGAAAGGAGTTTAATAACCCACTAGCTCAATGTTCTGTTCTCTCCAATCACTCAACCACTCCCCGCGGTATCCTGACAGGAACTACTCCTTTGAACATAGTAATGGAAGAAGGATCAATTTCTACCCTTAGGTACCCGAGGAGAATTTACTCTGCATTATTTCATATTTCAGCTGCCTCTGTAGCTTCTATGCCCCAGGGCGAGAAGACTGGCTCTCTACCAATTACTCATTTCTTATTAAACTAATGACTCAATTAAAGCATTTTGTACCAGAGCTTTCTGGTCCCTATGAAGAATGAAGGAGCGGGAGAGGGGAAGGGGCTGACTTACTCTGCTGGGTGATAGTGCGCTTTAGGAGAAAGGCTGAGGAAGAAAAGGTCATTGCACCTTTTGGCTTTAGTTTTTTTAAATCTTATCTAACAATACAGGGTCTCTCACAAAGAATGAGCCATCTCTTGCCAAGAGTGAGTGGCGAAAGAAGCTGACCCCGGAGCAGTTCCATGTCACCAGAGAAAAGGGAACTGAACCGGTAAGCTCAACTAACTTACCGTTTTCTGATTAGCTACATGGAGATCGGGATTGGAATAGATCTAGTTACAAAATCTACATCATCATCATCCACTCTGCAGACCTGGTCCCCCCGTTGTTCTTCTCGGGCCATCATTATCCATCTAGCTGTAGAAGCCAGAAACTTTCCCTTGGACATGTCACTCTCTGCCCTGCATCACTTTGCCATCTGTTCTACCTCCTAAGTGACCTCCCAGTCACTCTGCTCCCCCACCCGCAGCTGCCATGCTGGTCCAGTCTCCCACCATCCCTCGCTGGCTGGACTGCTATAGTCTCAACCGTTGTACTCACAGCCATTCCTGCTCCTCATCTAGCCGTTCTCCACGCGGCCGCCAGAGAGATCTTTTCAAAACGCAAATCTGATCCCATCAGGCCCCTGCTCAAAACCCTTCAGTGGCTCCCCACTGCTTCCAAGGTAAAGAGAAAAGTGTTCAAACAGCTAATTAGGCCCGAAGAGCTCTGACCCCTACCTCCCATCCCCCTCCTCAGATCCTGTCATTTTACCTCTCGAGCTCTGCACTTTGGCCACACTGTCCTCTACCTCCCGAACACCCTGAGCTCCCTTCTCCCTTAGGGCCCTTGTACCCTTTGTTCTCCTTTCTCATCACCACCGCCACCCCAACTCATTCAAACCTGTGTTTCAGCTCTCAGCCCAAACCTCACTTCCTCAGGGAAGCCTTTTCTCAGCCCCACGCTGGGTTTGCCTTCACCAGTCCTTTTCCTGCATAGCATTGGCCGTCGTTGGCATATTCCTAGCACATAACGTGGTATCTGGCACTCAAAAAACAAAGTTTCCGAATGTTAAATAACTAAAGGCTAAGAGGCGGAAACATTATTTACACTACATTCAACAGTCTCACCTGTATGCATCTTTTGAGAGAACAGTCCTCAGTGGTTTCTTATTATAATACCATTTTTATAGCCCTGCATTTCTTAGCAAGTGGCCTGTCTTAGACTCAAATATGGCCACTGGATTGTAGCTGTCGAATTTGTTATTAGATGCCTTCATTTGTGAAGCAAACCCTGCAGAGTGGACCACAGCACAGTGGTTTTGCAAAGTTGTAGAGTATTTATATCTTTACCTTAGCAGTCCCTGAAAAGTTCAAGTGGCCATCCATGTGCATGTGGTCTTACAATCATGGTCTCACTCTCAACTTTTATGCTAAAGTCATAAGACAGGTAGCATATCCCAAAAGATTTTTGTGAAAGACTGATATTTTTGAAAACTTTCTGTGAGTGGGATTTTAATAAAGCCTTCACAGGGAAAGAGACTATATGTGCCACTATTGCAATGGCACAGGGGAGCCACTGATGCTCTGTACAGTTGTGTGTATTCCCAGAATACTCTAAGCCTGCCCTGTCCTCAGGCAGAGTTTGGTATATACACAGAGCCTGGACATGAGCTGCCAGATGTTTAGGGGAACAAATCTGTGGGATTCTTAAACAGATGTGCATTTGGCCATTTTACAAAATGAGCTTCATTATTTTAACTCATATTATAAATCCCTTTTATTTGATCCATTTCCACATTGAATTTTTTAGAATATAATCCTTTGTTAGCTTCATGAGGCTAAGGAAAGAGAAGTAAAACATTTAAGCTTTCTATTTGGTGGCTCAAAATTAAAATTGAGTTCCACGTGTTTTTATTGGGCAGCAGTAATGGGCACCCTGCTAGGTAAGATGAAGGCTTTTACAGCTTGGTTGAGCAACGACAAAATGTCAGATAGCAATAGAAGGTAGGCTTAATGCAGGCCGTCCTCTGTCTGCCCTCCAAATCTGCTCTCCACTTGTTTTACCCTGCTCAGAGCTCGGGGAAGAGTGACCATCTCCCTTGCCCTCTGGCCACTGATTGAGTTTGACCAGTGGGAGATACCAGAGAGATCAGATGGCAGGATAGAGAAGCTGGGACCCAGGGTCCTCCCTGTGTTCCTCTAGTGCAGGTTGCAGCTGCCGCAGGCAGCCCTCACCTACAGTTGCAGCGTCACAGGTTCTGGTAACTGCCCCTTCCTCTGTCCCACACGCCTGATAGGGGTAGTGTGTTCTTACGGTCACTGGCCCAGGGGTGTTTCACCCTCCCTTGTTGGTTTCCATTGGCCCTGTCCCCAACTTTGTAAATAGTTCTGTATTACTTTATCTACAAATCATCTCTTTTCAGAGTGCCACCTGTTTCCAAAAAGTATATTGTGTTGAGAAGATCAAATGAGGGAGACCTCCCATGGGTCCAGACAGACTGTCTTAGGCGGTTCGAGCTGCTGTAACAGAATACTATAGACTGGGGGGCTTAGACAACAAACTTTTATATCTTGCTGTTCTGGAGGCTAGAAAGTCCAAGATCAAGGTGCCAGCAATGCAGTGACTGGAGAGAGCTTTCTTCTTGGTTTCCAGATGGCTACCTTCTTGCTGCGTCCTCACATGGTGGAGAAAGAGAACAGCTTTCTCTCTCATATCTCTTCTTATGAGGGCACTAGTCCCATTTATGAGGGCTCCACCCTCATGACCTAGTCACTTCCCAAGGTCCCATGTCCGAATACTGTCGCACTGGGGATTGAACTTCAACATTCAGTCCATAGCACAGACCTTGAAAACCCAAGGGGCATCTTAAGTGTCATGGTGTCTCTGACCCTGTCCCCATCCCCTTACAGTCATTTTAGTTCTCTCTTGTAAACAGTTCTTGAATTTATCCTCTTCTTTTTATTACCACTGCTTCTGCCACAGCCAAATCCAGGCCTGCATTAGTGGCTGTTTGATTGTTCTTTGCCCCCAGTGTCTTCCTGCCCCTGCCCCAACCCATTCTTCCTGCAGATGTTGTGTGCACACCCAGTTTAGGTTTCCACTGGGCAAATACTAGGTTTTCAAGTAAATTGAGATGGAAGCTGAGCTTGGCCCTGAGTAAGAGCTAGGACTCATATAAAACTGGGGGAGACATCAGGAAATCTGGCAAGGGGGCAGCTTAGCGATGTCATTTCATCAAGTATGTCAGCTAGAGCTTCCTTTTTATTTCCGTTTTTTAAAAAACTACAATACCAGTTACCTGTCACTTTCTCTATCCAGCTGTCCCCTGCAGTGATGCAATGACAAAATTAGATTTTTAATGTTATCAGTCTGTCTGGATCCTATAAGTAGGTTTTTCTAGATCAGCTTTAGGACTGGGAGCCCTTGGACATGTGTGTCTCATCAGCCCAGGTGGAAAGATGTGAAACTTCCTCGTCATGACAAGTGCTCATTTGTGCCAGTATTGGGAGCAAGCATTCACGGGGACGGGCCATAAAACCACCAGCTCACTACTGTACAGATTTCTTCAGCTAAGTTTAGGGTCTTTAAAGAGGGAAAACATCCAAGTGTGCCCAGATGGTAGGCTCAGTAGTTTCATTTGAAGTCCATTTAACCCATTCTTCCAGCTCACTGGAAATGTGCTGTAATACCACCACAGGGAATTTGAACATTTGACCTGTGAACTTGTTGAATTGGGAAATCTGGAGTGGCCAGAAGAGTCCCAGGTATTTCCTGAGTTAACACTGTGACTCAGTGAGCCATTCTGTACTTCTGCTTCCCTTCCTTCCCGTAAAATGGGACAGTGGTTCATAGTGGGCTAGTGAAAGGGTTCCTTTTTCTTTAATTTTCTTTGACAGGAGATAACAAAAAGAATTAGACAAACATTTTTTTTTTCTTTAACCAATGCAATTCAGTTTGTAAAATAACATTTGAAGAAGCATTGACTCAGCTCACTCATTGCCTCAAGTCTCCTTATGTTCCTCTCAGGAGACCTTTGAGAACCTGCAGACTCTGCGTTAGCAGAGTAATTTCATCTAAGTCGTCACTTAGGCACTGGGAGAATCTAGCTTATTATTTAACATGTATTAAGTGTGCAGTGTCCTAAACAGTACATGAAGCATATCAAAGTCACAACCCTGATGTCACTGAGCTATACTTCTTATGTATTTATATTCTGTCTTTAATTGGAGATTTCAAAGTGTTTTCGACAAAGGACTAGATTCCTGTTGTATTGACTCTTTTCAAATGGAGACTGAAATTTCACACAATCCAGAGGACTGTTCCCAGATGAAAGGTGCTATGTAAATACAGGACGTTATTAATGTCATGATTAGAATATTTGGCACAATAAAGTTTGGGTTGTAAATGAGCCCACAGGCTGTTCCATTGGGTGTGTGGTAACTTTCTTGTGATATTTCCACTTTGTCAAATTAGTACAAAAAGTTCTTTATTTGAGGACTTCACCTTGGATTTGAAGGTACTGTATTATCTCCTGATGGTATGATGAGAAACCTGAACATATGTATCTAACTGACTTTCAGCCTTTCAGCGGGATCTACTTGAACAACAAGGAGCCAGGAATGTATCACTGTGTGTGCTGCGACAGCCCACTCTTCAGGTGAGAGAAAAGATCAAGTAAGTGAAGGAGAACAGACGTCGAAGATCCTTCAGCTCTGCCTCACTTGAGGTCTTGGATAAAAACGTACTCATGTTGTTTTTCATTGTCCTTCTCATTTGGCATGGTTGCTATAAGGAGAGCTATTTGTATAAGATACTTGCTTGTCTTACTCATTTCTAGCATTTAGAGCAGTTATAAGACTTCTTAGCCTATATTCTTCCTTTCTGTATCCCTGAGAAATAGCAAAATAGTAAAACTTGGTGGGAACTATAAGAGAAAGCTATTAGAATTTTTTACTAGGAAAATATTTAAAGAAATCTAAACTGTAATAGTATTTATTTGGATATGTGATTAAAACTATATCTCTCTCAGGGAAAATGGGTTTATACTTCAATTTAGGAAATGTAGAATTTTATGAGGACAGATTCCCCACAATGCTTGACAATAGTGAATACCATGCCCTCTTCTATATGGCTAAAAGTAAATTTAATTGTCCCTTGATTTCAAAGCCTCTTTTGAGTCAATCAGGATCTGAAATCTCTCAACAAAGACTTTTTTGTTTAGACATGCAGGAAACAGTTTTTTAAAAAGTAGACTCAATGGAGAAGAAAGGAAAATATCTTTGAAGTCTTGTTTTTCAGAACTTCAAAGATTTTTTTTTCTTTTACATCAACCCTAAATTGGTTTAGAATAAAATATAAATCAAGCCAGCTCTGTGAGTCTTCCATTAGGCAGTTCTTCATCATGTCCTTTGGGCTTTGAGCAGAAAGGGCTTTCCTGCTAATGTGGACTGAATTTGGAAAGCCAGACCCCACCTTCAAGGACAAGGAATGATTAGGATTGATTTTCCTTCATGCTCATGGAAGGAAGGCCTTTTCCCAGATTCATTCATTCTGTCAGTGGCCACTGACACAATATCTAAGACGGCAGTCAGCCCAGGATGGCCTGGGGACAGCTAGGAGACATAGTAACATGTGGGACATGTATTTCTGAGACATCAATTATGCTCTTTTGTTCTATTAAGGAGAAGTAAGACCTTGAGATGGCCAACCTGCTTTAAGCCAAAGCTGTGTTGTAAAAGCATCGAGGCTGCCTGTTACTGTATAGCAACAAGACATGTTCTGTCTTTGGACTGTGTGTGACACAAGATTTGAAGGCATCCTCGTAAGAACATTCTCCTACATTGTAGTCTTCATTTTTTTACTTCTTGTGTGTTCTAGTTTATGCAAAAGTAAGGTTGAGACCTGTAAGGTTTCTCGCCAAGGAAGAAAGTGAAATGGAGCCGCAAAAGCGGGCAAGAAAGTTTTATTGGAGCACTCCCGGGCGAGGTTCGCTGGTCCAGGGGTTCGGGCCAGGGAAGTCGCACTGTTATGTCCGGCTTGGAGAGTTTTATAGGGGAGGTCGAGGAATGAAGAGGGAAGGTACTTGATTGGTCGAGGGGAAAGGTGGGGTGATTCTGCATGACGAAGAGAGGAGGTATTTGATTGGTGGTTCCGATTTCTCCTTGGGCCGTCTCCTTCACTGAAGTCATGTGACTGCTCAGAGCCTGCCGACCTTACAAGACCTTCTTCCTACACAGTGCCCACCATCCCTTCACTAGGTCAGACATGGAATCAGAGAATGTTGGAGCAGGGAGGATCTTAGAGACCAGGGCAGAAAGCTCTGTCCTGTAGAACTTTCTTCGACGGTGGACATGTTCTGTATCTGCTTGGTCTAATGTGGTAGCCACTAATCTCATGTGGCTATTGAGCACTTGAAAAGTGGCTAATGCCACTGAAAAACTGAATGTTTTATTTTATTTTAATTAATTTAACTTATAAGGCCACCAGCTACTGTGTTAGCTCAGCAGTAGTCCAAATGAAGGAAGGTGAATGACCAGCCCTAGGTCACTGAGGCAGTGAAGCAACCAAGACTGACAGGAAACCAGACAGTTCTCCAAAGCCTGTGTACCAAGTGGCCAGTTTACCGAACTGCCAGTTCACCAACCTTATTGTTTCTTTTCAATCACTTAGTCGTAGTTGAAAAGCTTTTATTTTCTTTTTTTAAGGACTTTTGAGTTTGTTTCTGTTCCATTTTCCAGCTGCTGTTACAGCCAGGACTAAGAGAAATAAGAATATATTCATAAGAATCACTTAAGTTCCAGAATATACTTTTTTTTAAAGATGCATTTGTTTTATTGTGTAGCAGAGTGGTTAAGGCTGCCTAGATGTACATCCCAGCTCCACTGCCTTGTGACCTTGGGCAAGTTTCTTAACCTTTCTGTGCCTCAACTTGCTCACCTGTAAAATGAGCATGATGGTAGTACCAAATTTATAAGGTTGTTGGGAGGATTAGCTGAATTATGAGTTAATACACAGAAGAGCACCAGAGCAATGCCTGGCACATGCCAGTCACTCAAGACCAGCAATGTTAGCAATGATAGAGGTAGATCCTTTTTAGCGCTGCATACATGAATGTATCTTCGATGATGAAGAATTCATGAGAATGTATTCTAATTAATGAAAATCTATAAATGAAGAATCTATTCCTAAGCATGCTTTCCATTCAAGAGACTAGTCTTAGGAATTATTCTTGTTTTGCCTCTCATTTCCCCATCTCTCTATTCCCAGTTACAGCCTTAATAATAGGGTGCAGGGATAGAGAAAGATAAACATTCCTTCAAATGTTTGTACAGAGTCAAAAGGAGGTGAAAAGTAAGTTAACCAAAACTAAATAGTTAGAGTCAAGTGGATATGGGACCACTGGCTCTAGGCACATGGGCTCGTTATTGCTTGCAGACTTGCCTTCAAACGGAGCCAATATGCTGCGTGTTCTAGCAGAGCTGCCCACTCTCCAAATCAGAGGCCTTTGAATCAGGGTTTTCTGGGTCAAGAACACGCTCAGGATGTTATCAGTTCCCTGAGGACTCCAGACTGTCACTTTGTGATTTCGCCCCCTTCCTACTTCCTCTCTCCACCTTCCTTATCCTTCCCAGTTCTGGAAGTGTTTCTTAAAATCTACTGTGGAATCACATATTTCATGGTCATAAATCTTAGAAGAGAACAGAGAGCCTGATATTAGTTCTCTTTTTATGTGACATCTGATGTCCTACACATTACCAGTAACTAACATTCTTTAAAACTGTTTTGGGGACTCATTCCTTCGAATGAACAGAAAATTTTCTAAGATTCTAGGGTTGTCAGTAATCACCAGATTCCTGTGCTGTTTGTTTGAAGGCTGTAGAGTTTCCAGGAATGAATAATAAATGTAAGAGTATATGAGAAGTGATGATCCAGAATGGTTTTAGTTTTTCAAAGGCAGGCCTTATAATCTGCTAATTATTTCAGTATGTATATTGGAATTTCTAATTGACCCTAATATTTAGGTTTCTAATCTTAAATTATGTATGGTGGCCCTCTCACATTACTTGGCAAAATATCCAAATTCTGTTAATTGCATCAATAAATGTTCATTGTTTCCCATAAAATGTTTTAAATGACTTTTCATTAGTCTTAGATTCATTTATTGAAAAAATTTATTATATTCATCATTCTCCATTGAAATTTCTTTAATGATCACTAGTTTATATATAATGTTGAGGGTTGAAAGGATATGTTTAAAAAACACTTAATAAAAAAATAAAAATAAAAAACACTTAAGCCCTGGCTGGTTTGGCCCAGTGGTTAGAGCGTCGGCCTGCGGTCTAGAGAGACCCGGGTTCAGTTCCCGCTAAGGGCATGTACCTCGGTTGCAGTTTGTCCCCGGCCCTGGTTGGTCGTGCGGGTGGCAGCCACTCGATGTGTCCCTTCACGTCGATGTTTCTCTCTCTCTCTCTACCTCTCTCTCTCCCTCCCACTCTATCTGAACAGAAAATGGAAAAATGTCCTCGGGTGAGGATTAAAAAAAAAAAAAAAAAAAACCACTTAACATGTTTTTCCCTGAGCCAGAGTGGCACGGATGAATGTTTTCAAAACCTTGCAAAAGAATCGCAAAGAACCCAGACTGAAAGTGCTAACAACAGCTGTTCAAATTTTATGGATATCTGTTATTAATAATAATAATTATATTAAAAAATACTAGCTACTGACTGACATATCATGTGTCTGACACAATGCTATCCCGAAGGTATCTCAGTGAATCCTCTCAGCAGCCCTGTGAAATCATCACTAATCTCTTGATTAGGATGCTAAGACTTTAAAAGATAAAGTAACTTGCCAAGGTTACATAGATGTAACAGGCAGAGACTGGATTCACACCCAAGTCTTTCAGAGGTTGAAGCCCTTACTCCTCAGAGTCATACCTGTGGTTCTCTAAGCCCGGTTTGAGGTCCCAGAGAGCTCCTGGGACCCTTTTAGGGGACCTGTGAGGCCCTCTCTTTTCTCACTACGTATCTGGAAGGTCACACTTCCTTCACTTCAGTTCAGAACAACACTGCAGCAGGTTGGATACGGGGGCACGTGTGAAGATTCAGTTGCCCTTAGTTAAGTTAGACATTAGAGAGATTTGCAAAAGTGTAAAGCAGTGCAGCTCTTCTCACTAAATGTTTGTTTCATTTTGGAAAATATAACCATTGTCATAAAAATGTCATTTATATTATGTAATGAATTTATTGTTTTTTAAAATAATGCATGCAACAAGTGTTGGCGAGGGTGTGGAGAAAAGGGGACTCTAGTGCACTGCTGGTGGGAATGCAGACTGGTGCAGCCACTATGGAAAACAATATGGTGTTACCTTAAAAAGTTAAAAATGGAACTGCCATTTGACCCAGTGATCCCACTTCTAGGAATATACCCTAAGAAGCCTGAACACCAATCAGAAAAAATATATGTACCCCTATGTTCATAGCAGCACTATTTACAATAGCTAAGATCTGGAAACAACCCAAGTGTCCATCAGTAGATGAGTAGATAAAAAAGCTGTGGTACATGTACACAATGGAGTACTATGCAGCTGTAAGAAAGAAAGATCTCATCATTTGAGATGACATGGAGGGACCTAGAGAGTATTATCCTAAGCGAAACAAGCCAAGCAGAGAAAGACAAATATCACATGATCTCACTTATTTGTGGAATATAATGAACTAAACAAACTGATGAACAAAATTGACCCAGAGACATAGAGGTAGGGTACAGACTGACAAACCCCAGAAGAGGAGATATTGGGGGGGGGGGGGGAGATAAACCACAGAACTTATATGCATGTATGCATGACCAACGAGCATAGACAACAAAGCTGAGGATGGGGGGGGTTGTCAGTGGGGGAAAAAGGAGAAACATCTGTAACAAAAACTGATTAATAAACATAATTTAAATAAAATAAAATAAAATAATGCATGCATATTTTTTAATTCTCAGTTTTAATTTATAATGTGTTAAATATTGATATACATACTCATGTAAGCAGAAGCTCTCAGCAGTCCTCAGTAGCTTTTCAGTATTAAAAGGTCCTGAGACCAGAATGTTGGAGAATCACTGAGTTACACTGGATGTTTCTGCTGGGATTTGGGCTCTAAACTGAACTTCCTTCCCTGTACATGGTCTAGGGATTTGATATTTGCCATATTATTTTTTTTCACTTTGCTCAGCTTTTTTTTTTTTTCTTTTCCTTTTTCGCATTTTTCCTCAGAAGAGCCATTTCACTGCCATTTCAAATTTATAAATACATTTTTCTAGCAGCATTTAAGGGAGCTTATCTTTAAAAGCACTTAAGAGTGGGTCTTTGGTAGGCCAATTGCTGGTTGCCTTCCTCCTCCTTCTCTTGCCAGCTTCTCTGCCTTCCCCAGCCTTCAGCATCACTGGTCCCTATGGGACCTCCCCAGGAGGGTCAGGGCCACTGCAGTGATTGACTCAGAGCGGCCAGGCTTATTTATTAACAATAGTAGTCATAGTGAACTTTTGTTTGCAAGCACTTATGTGTGCTACACAGAGTAGCTCTTTCAGTTCTCAAAGCATCTTTGTAAGGTAGGTATTATCCCCATTTTACAGATGAGAAAACTGGGGCTGAGTGGAGAAGCAGCTTGCCCAGTTTCACACAGTTAGAAAGTGGCAGCTGCTAGCTGCTCTCGGATCCCTGCGGGTAGCCAGGCTTCTGTGTTTAGATAACCCGGTTTCTGTTGCTGAAAGTGGCTTTTCTGTCAGACCTCACGCTTCTCTGATCTGCCAAGCCCATTACGCCCTCCTTCAACCACTGTTATTTCACTTTGTTTTTTGTTTGTTTTGTTTTTTATTTTTATTTACTTATTTTTTATTGTTGAAAGTATTACAGCTGTCCCCCTTTTTTCCCCATGACCCTCTCCTTCCCGCTGTTATTTCACTTTGATTTCCCCCTTTTCTACATTTACAACACATGGATTTGATCGGTGTTTCTTAATATGCAACAGTTCACAAAGCTCCTAGTGTTTTTAGGTCCTTGTTGGACATTGAGGAGGAAGTCTTTGGCATCAAAGGAACAAGAAATCCTTTCACTGCGATGGGACAGTGGTTTTAATAGTGAAGGTGCAGTGGACACATTCCTGTGGGATTGATTGTCACGTCACTGGCCTTGGGGTCTGGCAGAGGTGGAGGGCATTAGATCTGCTCGGTAGAAAAATGAGTTGGGGCATAACATGCCATTTGTGTGTTCATAATGGTAGTGCTGGGAATGTCTTCCTTAGTTCCAAGAAAAAGTACTCCTCCGGCACCGGATGGCCTTCATTTTCTGAGGCCCACGGGACGTCTGGCTCTGATGAAAGTAACACAGGAATCCTGCGGCGTGTGGACACCTCAATGGGATCGGTGCGCACAGAGATTGTCTGCAAGCAGGTGAGGGTCTTTGTTTTGTCTGTTGGGTTTTCCCTGACGCTGCCCCAAGTGCCCCAAAGAGCTCTCTTGTCCTTGGCATGTCTAGTTGTCACTGAAGCACATGGGATTTCTACTTATGCCGCTTCCGATCCCTCCCTCCCATCACTCTGGGCACTGCAGATGAGAGAAAGAACCTTCCTGAGCCTCTCTCTGAGTAGCCGCTTCTGGTTCTTGCCTTCCAGAGCCGGGAGCAGGGTGAGGGTCTGAAAGAAAGAATTGGCCCTACACATGCTTTTGAACAAGGGCAGGCAGCAAAGGCCTAGGGTGGTTGGCATCTGTCCACCTTCTCCCCCACTTGGCTATGTGTCATGGACAGTCAGAGCAACACGGGAGCTGACATCGGCACACTGGTCCCTCTGAGCGTGTAGGAGAAAGCACTTTCATCCAGATAGCAGATTCCTTTTGACATCCTCGTGTGCTCAAATGTTCTGCTTTTGTAAAACACCAAAGACAAGCAGATAAACAGCATAATCTTAACTCCAACAACAAAAATAATACGCTGGCTACAACATTACTGAGTACTTAACCACGAATTGTGTTAATGTTTTATATGCATTATATCAATTAATTGTCACAACAGTTCTATTAAATAGGTATAGTCATTATTCCTGTTTTATGGATGGGGAAATCAAGGCCTAAGTTCAATGACTTGTTCCATTCTCACTGATAAGACAGAGTTCTTTACCACTTCTGTGCTCTGCAGTCTTTCATTTCTTAATCAAATTCAATGGACTTATTCCCCTCACAGGTGTCAAACACTGGCTGGCCCTGTGGGTGCATCTGTTTACTTTTGTGTAAAAAGCTTTTTCTCAGTGGAGAAGTGACAGAGGCTTCTTTCCTTTGCAGTGTGAAGCTCACCTTGGCCATGTGTTTCCTGACGGGCCTGGGCCTGCTGGCCAGAGGTTTTGCATCAACAGTGTGGCACTGAAGTTCAAACCAGGGAAACCCTGACTCTCCAAGAGTCCCTTCCCCTGCCACTCCTCATTTATACCCTCAGTTTTAAAAATTCCCGTGACTTGTTTTACTTAATACCAAACGGGGCTGAGTTTGCTGCTGGCACCAAGCAAAGTCACGGCTTCTCTAATTTATTGATCTGGAATGAACTCAACCCTGACTCCTGCTCTGACTGTGGAATTTCTCAGAATGACAGAGTGGCAGCCATTTCTAGTCAACTGACTTCCGTGGGCTCTGCCTGGGGCCTGAGGGCACAAGTCTTTGGGGACCTTAGGAGGCTGATGGATTATAAGGCAGAAAATTCCCACAAAACCCTGAACTTCCCATTTCAGTAAAGTTCTTCATGGATGCATATACATGAGGGATTAAGTGAAAAGAGGAAGGAAAATATGGGGTTAATCAACGATCCAGCATCAAAAGAAGCACCGAGGGGTAGGGCTGCAGGAGAGCTGTGTTTTGGGAGGTACGTGTGGTGATGGAAAAGCCACCTGATTCTTTTTCAAAATTTTGGAATATCGAACATTCTGGTTCCAACGTTTCAACCCTCAAATAAGTTCCAACGGGAACTTGTTAGATTTCAGAAGTAGTGGACAAAAGTGGCTGCAAAGTTAAACTTTTAAGTGTTCAAATAAAATATTTACTAACATTTATGTTTGCTCTTTGTCTAAGTCTATGAATTTGCTTTTTTATTAAAAAAAGCTCTAAATAGATAGACGTGCACTGGATGAAAAATAGTCACTGGTAAAAAATTGGATTCAGCCCTGGCCGGTTTGGCTCAGCATCGGCCTGTGGTCCCAAGAGACCCAGGTTCAGTTCCCGCTAAGGTCATGTACCTCGGTTGCATTTTGTCCCCGGCCCTGGTTCGTCGTGCGGTGGCAGCCACTCGATGTGCCCCTCTCACGTCAATGTTTCTGTCTTTCTCTCTGTTCGTCTCTCTCCCTCCCACTTTACCTGAACAAAGAATGGAAAAATGTCCTCGGGTGAGGATTAAAAAATTGGATTCATTATACATTTATAGTTTTTAAAATTGTTGAATACCTTAGGGTGACATTGGTTAATAAAATTATGTGAGTTTCAAGTGTACTATTGTAAGTGACATTGTTGCAATATTGTACTGTGTGTTTACCATGAGAAGTCAAGTGTCTTTTCATTCACATTTATCCTCCCCTTACCCTTTTCTGCGTGCCCACACCCCGAGTTACCTCTGGTAATTACCTGTATACTGTCTGTGCCTATAAGGGGATTTGTTGTTGTTGTTATTTTTACTTTTTTTCTTTAATACACATTTTAAACCAAATCAACTAAAGAAACACTTCTGTATCAAAAAAAAAAAAAAAAAGCTCTAAATAAAAGGCCAAAAAGTAATTAGATTATATGATCATAGGCATTTGTTTATAAAGTGTTTTATAAAACACTTGTGTTTTATAAATTGAGTGTCTTGAATAATTTGCTATTGAAAGTGTTTAAATAATTTTCGTTGGGATTTTATGGTCGGAAAAGAAAATTATTCTATTTTCTCTTAATTCACTTGTAGTACATTATTTAATTTTTTCTTTTAGTGGTTACCTTGAGAATCACAACATGCATTGTTAACTTGTTATAGTCATGAAAATTATTACTTTTTTTTTTTTACTTCTCCAAGAATACCTTAGAACACTTTAAATTCCATTAACACCCTTCCATATTTTATGTTACTATTGTCATAACTTAATTTTGACAATATTTAATTTTACACACAAATTATTATTAATGTATATGTCAATATCATTTATATTTATCTGCATATTTACAACACTTTCTGTTGCTCTTTATTGCTGCCTGATATCCCATGTTTCCCTATGTGATTGTTTTCCTTCTGCCTGAAGAACTCCTTTGACTTTTTCTTTTACTTCATGATTCCTAGCAGTGAATCTTCTCAGTTTTTGTTGGTGAGAAAATTTATTCTTCTTTCATTTTTAAAGCTTTATTAAGGGAAATTTTATATTTAAAACATTTGTACATATTTAGTGCATGAATTATTATGAGTTTGGTCTCTTTTCATTTTTGAGGAATTATTTTCCCTGAGTATAGAATTCTAATTTTGAGAGATTTTGTTTTGGTATTTTCAAGTTTTGTTCCATTGTCTTATGGCTTCCATTGTTTCTTCTGATAAATCAGCTATCAGTGTTATTATTGCTCCTTTGAAGGTAGGTAATGTGTTCCCCTCCTTCCCCAGCTGTTTTTATTAATTTATTTTTTTATTTAATTTTCAGCAGTTTGTGATGTGCCTTGGTGTGGTTGTCTTTGTGTTTATTGTGCTCAGGATTCATAGAGCTCTGTGAATCTTAGGTTGATACTTGCATTAGTTTTGGAAAATTCTGTTATTATCTCTTCACTATTGGTTTTTTTCTATTCTCCTTTCCTTCTGGAAGTTGAATTATACAAATTTTAGACCATTTATTGCATTCCATATAGCTCAACAGCTCTTTTCTGTATTTTCTAATTCTTTAACATTTCTGTACTTCAGTTTGGGAATTTTCTGTCATTGCACTCTCTAGTCTCATCTTTTTGCTTGTCTAGTCTTTTTTTTTTTTTTTACCCTCACCCGAGGACATTTTTCCATTTTTTGTTCAGATCAAGTGTCAGGGAGAAAGAGAGAGAGAGAGAGAGAGAAACATCGATGTGAAAGGGACACATTGAGTGGTTGCCACCCACAGGACCAAAGCAGGGCCAGGGACAAACTGCAACCGAGGTACGTGCCTTTAGCAGGAACCAAACCCGTGTCTCTCTGGACCATAGGCCGACGCTTTAAACACTCACTGAGCCAAACCGGCCAGGGCTTCTTTAAAACACCTTTTATGAATTCTTTATTTTAAATGTTAAACTTTTTTATTCCTAAAAATAACCATTTGATTCTCTTTTATGAATTCCAGTTATCTGGTGAAGTTTTCCGTAAGTGTACTTTTCCTTCATATTTTAATTTTTTCTTGAACATATTAAGCTGTTTTAAAAACCCTTGTTAACTAAACTTCACTATCGGGGTTACCTTTGTTTTTTTGCTTTTTTAATTGTGTTCTTGCCTTTTGAAATCTAGGAGTTTTCAAATTGAATTTCAAATATTATGTATGTTAAAAAATGTTGTACTCCCAGCTGATACTACCTTCCTCTAGAGAGGGTACACTTTTCTCCATGCTGAGTAGATAGAGTGGTGGCCAGTTATTTTAACTCAGGCAGAGACTGGGTTAATTGTATATCCAGAAGCTGGATGTACATCTGATAAAGCTCAGTCTACCTCTGTTTTACCCTTAACTTTCCAGAAGGTCAACTGAAATCCTGTGTATTCTGTGAGGCCCCTCATCCTAAAACAGTTTGAACTGTTAATCTCTGCTCACGAAAGTGATGAAAAACAATACTCTGTATTTCAGAGGCTTTCCACTTAGGGTTTTAGCACCCTGACCCACCAGATCCCACATTCATCGAATGTGCTAGGAGGAAAACTAGCCATTTACTTAAGGGTCCCAAGTCTGCTAATGCTCTGCTTATTTCTGTGTGCCCTAGCAGATGCCCTTTGTGGGTACAAAGCCCAGATTGTTGGCAGAGTTCACAATTGGCAAATGATCCCAGGATAAAAGTGGCTCTTTGGGGTTCTTTCCTCCCTGGAGTTGTGGTGGGCAGAATAATGGTTCCCCAAACATGTTCAAATCCTAGTCCTGGGAAATGTAAATAAATTATCTTTCATGGCAAAAGGGTTTTTGCTGATGTGAATAAGTTAAGGACTTTGATACAGGGAGATAGATTATCCTGGATTATCTGGGTAAGTCTGTTCTAGTCACATGAGTCCTTAAAAGTAGAGAACGTTCATGGCTGAGGACAAAGATGTGATGATGGAAGAATGGTCAAAGAGATGCTAGATTGCTGGCTCTGAAGGTGGAGGAAGAGAGTCACGAACCAAGGAATGAGGAGTAGCTTCTAGGAGCCAGAAAAGGCAAAAATATGGATTCTCCTCTAGACCCTCCAGAAAGAAATGCAGCCCTGCTGACATCTGTTTTATCCCAGTGAGTCTCTATTCTCACAGTTGCACAAGATAAATACGGGTTTTAAAGCCACCACATTCTGGTTATTTGTTACAGCAGCATTAGAAAACTAATACAGGAATCTAGGCCCCTTTAGTTCTTGTTACTGCAAAGGATCTCTGCTTCCTACAGAGAGATAATGTCCATATTTTTGTTTATCTGTTGTAGTTTTTCTGGGTGAAAGTGCTGTTATGCTGCTAAGTACTCATTGCTCCTGGATAATAGCCCACAATTTTTAGTCTCCAATTTTAACTTTGCCCTCACAAACATTCATGAGAAGGAGACAAAGACACTATGTTTATTTCTATTTTATATTTGAAATGAAAGTTCAGGAAGGGTAAATGATATTCAAAATCAGATAATGGATAAGAAGCCAAGTCAAGACTACAACACAGGTACCTACACCCCATTATTCTAGTTCCTATGACCCACGATCAGAATCAAGGACTCCTTTATTTTTTTTCCCCCCAAATTATTTACATATAGTAAAATGCACTTATTTTAAGTGTACAATTTTCTGAATATTAGTAATTTTATGCTGTCATGTAACCTGTACCACAATTTTTTTGATCATTTCCTTCATGTGTTTCAGGTAGTTATCTCTTCTGTTAGAGTGCTTGATATGCTTAACATGGACATGAATTCTCTTGGCAAGAACCTTGCCTTAACCTTGTTAGTTTACCCAGAACACTGAGGTTATGCATGCTGGGTAACACTGCAGACTCTTCTGGCTTTGCCATGGTAACATTGGTGGGGCATTCCCTTGAAAGTCTACAGTATCACTTTCCTTGTGCATTCACACATGTGGCCAAAGGAACAGCTCCATGCTTTCTAATAGGTTTAGAGAAAATAGAATGGGTTCCTTCCCTCTTTCCCTTTGTTTTCGCCATTTTGGCAAATTATTGGAAGATGGTAATTCAGGCCGAAGTCCTAATAGCCTTTTGACTCATCCTGTGGTGCTTGATGAATCAAGATGTTTTGTGCTGGATACTGACAATGAATACAAACTACCTGCTGTATTCTGGCTCCCAATCTTTAGTGGGTTTTAAAGTATATTCATATTGTAGCCAGTTGAGATCTTGTCACAAACATATAAATTACCATTAACACCTGCTTATCATCATATTATAAAAAATATAAATCATGCCCCGTCGGTGTGGCTCAGTGGTTGAGCATCGACCCATGTACCAAGAAGTCACTGGTTTGATTCCTGCTCAAGGCACATGCCCAGGTTGTGGGCCTGATCCTCAGTGAAGGACATGCAAGAGGTGGCCAATCGATGTTCTCTCTCATCGATGTTTCTATCTCTCCCTCTCCCTAAAAATCAATAAAGAAAAATATATGTGTGTGTGTGTGTGTGTGTGTGTGTGTGTATAAATCATTATTAAGGACTACAGATTCCATTTGCAAGCTGGTGCCAATTTCATTTTGCCTGGCAGTTGGGCTCTACTACTTTATTTTTTATCTTTGTTTAACAGTTTGAGGAAATGTATTTATTATAGAAAAAAAA